CCGCCTGTGGCTGCCAGCTTGGCTCGCCGTGCTGCGAGCGTGTTCTGGGTGGCTGCCTCGGGTCCCAGTGACACTTGCTCGTGGCTCTGCAGACCCTCTGAGGCTCTCACAGCCGATTCCTCCTTCCCTGCAGTGAGCAAGAGGGAGGAAGGGTCCCTGCCACTGCTGGTGAACGTGGGGTGCCAGGGTGAGACGGGGCAGGCGGGCGAGCCCTGGATGTCCTCGCTGCAGAGAGGGAGGCTCTGTGGCAGCCTTTTCCCTCAGGAATTGTAGAAAACAGACAGGATCTGATTTGGTAACAGGAATGTTTGCCTTCAGAGGGGGAGAGGAGAAGGGGTATCTGGAGACCCGCGGCCTGAGGGTCCCCTTCGTGTCTCCCCACAGGTGACGCGCTGACTTGGCAGATGCTGCCCCAGTTGACGTAGGACCCAAGTCACTTGGGCCCAGGATGAGCAAGCCGACAGGCCTGCAGCACGACCTGGAACAAAGCCTCCCGGCCATTGCGTCCATCAGCACGTCGCTCTCCCAGAGCCAGGGCTTCTCCCCGTACTGCTACTTCTCTCGGGAGAAGAGGAAAGCCATCTCGGATGTGAGGAGGACCTTCTGCCTCTTCGTCACCTTCGACCTGCTCTTCATCTCTCTGCTGTGGATAATCGAGTTGAACGTAAGTTGGGGGAAGCAGATCCGCGGAGTCTTTGCCCTTTTAAGCTGTGCTTTTTTAGTTCCGTTCCCGCCGCGCTAATTGCTCCGTTTCAGAAGTCTTGGGCCAAGTCTTTGTTTGTTCTTCCCAGCACTCTGCTGATGTGCGCCGGCGGAGAAGCTGCTGCAGTGAGTGTAAACTAAAGTCCAGCTCGTTTCCTGCAGCCGGGCTCTGCCGTGGCTGTCCAGGGTCGTTAACACCGTCGCGTGTAGCGCTGTGTGGTGTAGTGTAACGAGATCTAGGGCCCATGGAATCGCCGGGTTGAGCAGTTGGCCAAATTTCACTCCTGCTCCCCTTGCCTCAAGCGAAGCTGCTTGCTGGGTTTGCCAAGCAGCTGCCGGCTTTGCTGCGGTGTCTTGTTCTCGGAGCGTCGGAGGCACGAGGCAGGGTGTGCGGACCCTCCTCTCGCCCACCCAGCTGTTGGGCAGCGACAGAAGGGGCGTTGAGCTTCGGTCCCAACGTACTGCTACCACTCCCAGCTCCTGAAAGCCGGAGATGCTGCTCCAGCGCACGGAACGCGAGGGTGTTGGTCCTCTGCGGTGGCTGTCACACCTGCGCAGGCTGCGGCGTTTGCTCAGTGTGTCAGCTGTGGCAATGAGGAGGGAAATCCAGCTTATTTACCTCGGTCCCATCAGGTCAGAGTTACTCCCTGGGCTGTATTTTATTTTATTTTGTTTTTCCTGAACTGGTCCCAACTAGTTTCAGCCGTGCTGGCGGCGGGTTTTGGGTACTACATGTCCTCCCATGGAACAACCGGAGCAGAGAGGCCAGATGAACAGATAGACCCCGGCGCTTCTGCACGCAGCCCTGCAGTGCCTTTATTTATCAGCACCGGATCCGGCGCTCGCTTAGCGGCTCTTATCTCTGCCCTGTTTATCTCCTGCAGCGTCCGCGCTTAACAGATTGTCTTCCGCACCCCCCTCGCCCTGCCCACGGCAGCCGGCCGCGCGATGTCGAGAGCCTGAAGAGACCCTGTGTGCTCCCCCCCCATCCCCCGACTAGGAAAAAGCAGCTCTGGGCCAGCGTTCCAGCGATGCCGATGGTGTTCTGCACGCCCGGCTTGGACCCCGGCCTCCCGCTCTCGTCCCTGTTCTCTGGGCTCTCTGCAGAGGTGCTGTCTACAAATCAAAAAATCCAGCCCCGGGGAGATGATCTGCCGGCGCAGTCACCAGGGTGATTGTGAGCGTAGGTCTTGCAGGTAGCCATTAATGGGTGACTAACTGCTGATATTTGGGCCCTGAGCCGAGATGCTGCATATTTAAAGCTATTAGGGCAACTTATTTGCCTAGTTATGAAGAGAAACGATTTTATATAATGACTAATGCTTTTTTTATCAAACGGTTTCCTTCGCTGCAAGATAAGCTGAGCAAATTGGCCCTTGTTAAATGTCTGTTGCCTGCAAACTGTCATTCTGCGAGCTCGCTGCTCTCAGAGCGATGCCGCAGACGGTTCTTCTTCCCTGTTCGTGGCAGTGGCCTGTATTTAAACCAAAAACACCTCCCAGAAGTCGTAATTCAAAGCCTTCCCTGCGTCCCATTCCTCCTGCAGCATCTCGTGGCGGAGTCGTGGTGTGGGGAAGAGGCTTTCAATGGCAGCTCCGCAAAGCTGGCTGGCATGAGTCCTGTAACTGCCGATCGGATAAAGCAATAGTGCGGAACCGCGGTGCCCCCCTCTCCCTGCGTATTAAGCACCAGCCCTGACCTAGAGGGACTGCTTCCCGATGGCTGCCTCTTCTGTCCTTGGACTGTCTGACGAGAGGGTGCCAGGACACCAGGCTGCCAAGAACTGGCCTGAGATCCACCAACTTGTTTCTCACAGATCATCAAACAGCTGTCAGCCTATACCGGCGTCCAGGCCAGCTGGGCTGCGTTCAAACCAATAGCCTAAAGGTGAAGCATTTGTTCCAGTTACCTGAGCCATTCGCTTCCTCATAAACAGCGATTCCAGGCTCCTGAGAACAGGATTTATGGTGTCAAAAGTACCGGGCTGTCAAGCCCCAGATTGTCTCGGGGTGAGGCAAGAGAGCTCTCCTGTGAGCTTTTTCCACACTCCCGTACAACATCCCGGGAAGCGGTTTTGCCCCTTTCAGATTTCCCTGCAGTCTGTGTCTGTGCGTGTCCCTCGCCCTGCTCTCCTCCCTCTCCCCCTTTGCCAGTGCGTTTGGACCTGCGGCTGGCTTCCTCCGTCAGGCGTCCTGCGGGCAGCTCGGCTCTGTTGTGAGCCGTGGGAAGCCAGCTGGCCCGGGAGCCGGGCGAGGGGATGCCTCGGTGCTCTGCGCAGCGAGGACGGTCGCGGCTGAAATTCCGCTGGGTTGCGGAGTGAACCCCGAGAGCCCTCACGGGGGGGATGTTTTGATTGTCCGGCTGTGGAAGACGCTTTGTTTGGCGCGTTGTTGAAAGTGTTAGAGAAGCGGTTTCCTGTGGTTTTTAATTTGTTCCGTGTCTCCTCCCGTGCCCCTGAAGTCTGTCACCTGAAGCCACACGTGGAAGCGGTGGGCAGGAGTGGGAGTTGTCCGACCGAGGGCTTTTAGGCTGTGGGAGTTGTGATCCGGTGGCGCTGGATGTGCTGAGCCGAAGGAGCGGCTTTTCAGCGTTCGCAAGCCCCCACGCAGAAGTGTTTAATGTACCCGCGTGCTGCTGCGGCGCTGACTGCCCGGCTCGCGCTCCTCGGTGTGAAACCAAGGGTGAAATGGGCTGTTGTATCCTCCCGCGGTCCCGCATTGGCGGAGGAGCCCGCGTCGTGCGCGCGGCAGGCATTTGTATGCCTGATGCGTAGCCTGACCGAGCGGTAACCTCTGGGCACCGCTTGGACGGGTTCTTTCTGCCATTAGTTTCTTATCAGTGCACTCAATAGCTTTCTGCTTTCCTATCTCCCCTTCAGACCAAGGATGGCATTCAGAAGAACCTGGAGAATGAAATCATTGAGTACAAGTTTAAGACCTCTTTCTTTGATATATTTGTGAGTATCCCAGACTGCTGCAGGTGAGGAAACAGCTTTGGAGTTGGGGCTGGCCTGGCAGAAGGCTGGGTGGGGAGGGTCCGCATGCCACGGGGGCTGGGGTCGCCCCACAGCCTTGCCTCTCTCCTGGCTCAGTGAAATTGGGCAGGTTGCAGCCTTGACCCCATCTGCCTCAGTGGCGAGGTCCTCGGGAGCTGGCCCGTGGTTGTGTCCTCCCAGCGCCTGGCAGAGGGACAAGGGCAGTGACTACTGTCGATGGCTTTTTGTTTTTTAAAGGTCTTGGCTTTCTTTCGGTTTTTTGTGTTGCTGCTGGCCTATGCAATCGTAAAGCTGCGCCACTGGTGGGTCATAGCGGTAAGAAGGCAATTTTTGCTTTCCTGTTTTTAGTTTTCTCTCTCCACCCGGAGTGTGCAGGGATCTGAGATAGGTAAATTTATTTTTCAGGTCACTACATTGGTATCCAGTGCCTTCCTGATTGTGAAGGTCATCCTCTCTGAGGTTGGTTTCCTTGGGCTCACGGGGGATTGCTTGGTGATTACTCGATGCTGCCGTTCTCCCGTTTGTGTAAACTCCCTGTGGTTTCTGCTTGCTTCCACGCAGCTTCTGACCAAAGGGGCTTTCGGCTATTTGCTTCCTATCGTCTCATTCGTCATTGCTTGGCTGGAGACTTGGTTCTTGGATTTTAAAGTCCTAACTCAGGAAGCAGAAGAGGAGCGATGTGAGTATTTTGCTCCGCTCTGGTAGGAGTTGACAGGTTAGAGTCCCCGGCCTGGGGTTTCTGCTGCTTTGGCAGCACCTTGACAGATATGACATTTATGGAGAAGTGATCTCCAGGCTGGCTGTGACGGTGAGTGCCTGACTCAACTCTGTTATGGTATATAAGTCCCTTCAGGGGAAGAAAAGACCAGATTATAAAAAGCATCTTTTAATTGAGTGGAGAAAAATGTGCCAGATTCCCCAATGTCTGGATCCTGAAGCCAGACGTGTTGGAAACAGAGCTCACCTCCGCATCAGAGAAAATGTTTTGCAACAGTGGGACCAGTGCCAGGCGGACTGTTGGACTCTCCGTCTCTGGATATCTGTCTTCGGATCTGGGCTGGAGACCTTTCGGAGAGGATTGCTTCAGTCGCAGGCGCGTTACAGGGGCGCGGCGTTGAGTTATGGTGTGTGAAATTTTACAGCCTCTGGTCGCTGAGGTCAGACTAAACGGAGATCGAGTCTGACCTAATGCTTTACAAATGACCCTGCGGTGCCGGGCACCTGTAACTTCCCGGGGTCCTTCTAGGGAGCGGGTGCTCAGCCTGGGCTGGCGTGGCTGCCAGTTGCTAAAGCAGCAGCAGGAGTTTGTCGCTCTCCCAGGCTTAGCTGACGAAGGAGGGCTGGGAAATGGCACGTCAGCGAAGGAGCATTTGTCAGGTGAGGCTCCATCAGAAATGCACCGACTGACTGGAAAACACCAGAGGATGTTTGGGTCTTGCAAGGAAGCTTGAAGATGAAAAATGATCAAGTGTTTAATGCCTCTATTGGATTAGGCTCAGGTTCCAAATTGCTTCCAGGGGAAGATTTTATTTAATTAGATGCTTAATCGCCTTTGGATTTGACAGGCAAAAGAGCCCATTGATCTCCATGCAGATAAAATGTCTCAAACAAAAGATGAGGCAATAGGAACTGAAAAGCTTGTGGGATGGCTGGTGTCAGCGCGAAAAGGCCAGCTGTGTCTGGAAGAAAGTGGCTGGGAGGGTGGTTGAGTCGGGCTGGCCGTGGTGGGGGCCCCAGGACCCCTTGGCGTTGAAGCGTTGGGTGCCATGTGTGTAAAACCTCATGCTTTTGTTGGCAGGGTACCTGGCCACGC